AACCCTCATCATTCCCAGGCTCAGCAGGAACAAAAACTGGCTCTTCAAATTTGTCCATCACACTTCCTACATCTGATTTCTCAATGACAACTACTGAACCAGAATCACCACCTTCTGACTCATGTGCCTCAAATTTCTCCATTTCATTTCCCACATCCAAATTTGCATTTCCAATCACCAAACTCGAGTCACCAACACTCTCAACACCGCCATCTGACTCAAACTTCACTCCCTCTTTATGCAATTTCTCGGGTGACTCAAGTGCCTCCACAAAAACCTCATCTTCCAAATCATTTGATTCACTGGACGCCACCGCAACCTTCTCCTCTACCTTATCCCCCAACAACTCATTTTTTCCCTCCACCGCGCCACCCAAAACCTCATATTTATCCTCCACCTTATCCCTAGAAACTTCAGTGTTAACATTGATGTTATTTTCTAATTGCGTCGCATCGACAACTCTATCAATTCCATTTTCCATTTTCAAAAATCTTTACCTGCAAATCAAAGTTCCAACAAAATCAAATACGAAACCATTGAATAGAGAGACTGACATATAATCACAAAACAACTCTTTTTATTCCCTACAAAGAAAAACTCCGTCAATCAAAACCAACTCAATGGCAATAAATGAATCAAAATAAAGACACCTTTAATAGTAAAATACAACATGACACCAAAGAACACTACAAGGAATCAATAATCAGAAGAAAAATTCACTGTAACCAATCAAGGCAAGTATAACCATGGATATCTAATTCAATTTAAAACATCACAAGCAGATAACCCCATGAAAAAAATCAGGTCTCAAGAACGTTTTATCAGGGTTTCTGGGAAGAAATGAAAGCAAAGGCCATAGAAACGAGACATAAAAGAAACAACACTTACCTGCGTTGGATGCTGTGTATAAGGAAAGTTCCAAGTCCTTAAAGGAAGAGAACAAAACTTTTCTTTCTTTCTATTAACATAGGATTTCAAGACAGTGTGTATTGTTGTACTAAAAGTGTAAGTTCTTAGAAGCTAAGTAGCTGTGTCTTTTAACCAGCAGTAGAGGAGAAGTGAAGGAGATAAGAGTTATCAGGTTGAGAATAGGAGCGCGGGGATGTTATCCTTTTCTTCACCTCCCGTAACCCCTTTTTATACTCTCCCCTCTCACTGAGGGCAAATATTTTTCTGTTCTTTTCCTTTTCTGTCGAGCAACGATAATGGCCCATGATTACAGGGCTGATCAAGATACAATTTCACAAATGAGATATAGGGCCTCAAGCCCAAGAAAACTTTATAAGTTAAAAAGGGAGGGGAAGGAATAAAAGAATCCACGTAGTTTTATTTCAAAACACGAGGCACGAGGTAGAAACTTTTATAGTTTATTGAGAATTATTTTTTAAATGATTTTTATAGAAAATAAATTTATTTTTTATATTTAGTTGTGTAATGTAAAAAAAATTAAAAATATTTTTTAATATTTAACTATATTATAAAAAAAACTAAAAAAAAAATTTTAATTTTTAATTTTTTTAACTTATTAAAAAGATATGAATCAAATTTGACATATAAAATATTGAAAAAAGATAAAATTAAAAAATTATTTTAAATAAAACAAATAAAAATAAAAAATACCATATTTAACATATATAAAACATAAAAGATGATACTATTTTAAATAAAACAGATAAAAATAAAAAATACCATTTTTAACATATATAAAACATAAAAGATGATAAAATTAAACATAAATTAATTTTATAAATATTCTAAATAAAATAAATAATAATTAAAAAATAAAAAATAAATCTGAAAATAAAAATTTCAATTAAAAATTATAAAATAAACATGAATAATAATTAAAAATTAAAGGTGATATAAAAATTAAATTAAATTAAATTTTAAAAAATAAAATTAAAAATATATATACAAAATATAACTTTATAGGGAGGGGGGTCCCATGCAGTTTTATTTCATTGTGCCGAGGCACGAGGTCAAAACTTTGAGAGTGTATGATTTGTTTGTTTGTTAAAAAATAATTTTTTAAAATAATTTTTATAAAAAAATAAATTATTTTTTATATTTGATAATATTATAAAAAATTAAAAATATTTTTTAACATTTGATTATACCAAGATAAGTTAAAAAACTTATTAATAGTTTAATTTTTATTAAGTTTATTAAAAAATAATAATCAAATTTAATATATAAAAATATTAAAAAATATGAAATTAAAGAAAGAAAATCAAATTTCTTAAATTATTTTAAATGAAATAAATTGTAATAAAAAATACAAGATAAAAATATTAAAAAATAATGAAATTATAAAATATAAATTATTTTAAATAAAAACAATAATAAAAAAAATATAAAAAATAATAAAATAATAAATTATTTAATTTAATAAATTATTTTAAAAGATTAAGAATCAAATTTAATTAAAAAATAAAAATGAAATTTAACATAAAAATAAATCAAATCAAATCTTAAAAGATAAAATTAAATAAAAAATTATAAACAAAATATATAAAAAAAAATAAAAAAAATAAAAACTAAATTTAATATAATTAATAAATAACAATATTTTTCTTTCTTTCTTGTAAATTCTAAACAATACTTTCAATCCAAAAATAAAATATTTTTATAAATTAAATCAATTTTTTATTAACTGTTTCTTTTAATAATAAATAAATGTAAGAAAACTTAAAAAGTAATTGTAAGTGTCCCAGAAAATTACTTTTATGAAACAAACGCCTTAAATATAAAAAATCATTCCAGTGTCCCAAGAGTATTTATTATTTCATATTTCATCTATCTATCTATCTATCTATTTATATATAGATAGATTTAGAATTAAAAATGTTTTTAAATTTTGATATAGTTACAATAATGCCATAGTATATATATATAGAAAATTGACCGTGAAATCTCTTCGTCAGCCGTTAGACCTCTCACCACAGTTCGCTCTCTTTCTCTCACTGTTTCCAGCCGGCAGCAGCAGGTCCCGCAGCCCGCCCTTCCTAGCCCCAGCAAGGCAGCAACTTCTAGCTAGTAAGTGTCATCCATTTATAATTTTCTAGATTTTTTTTTGTTAGACTGAAAAGAGATACTATTGTTGTTTTTTATTCGATCTGCTGAGATTTATGAGTTTCTAATTTTTCTTTTTATTTTTTTGTTCGGTTTAAACGTGTTATGGTACCTGAGATTTGATCTTGTTCTTAATTAATTTTCTGGAGATGCTAAAGCATAGAAGGTCAGATTTGGTTTTACGATTTGCTGAGAAAATAAGTAATCTATAGCTCGGATTAGGTCTTGTAATTTTGAGGCCAAGAGTCGGAGTTTCTGAAAAAATGTAACGTTTTTGCAAGTTGTGGTGTGATTTTTTTTGTTTCCATCTGGGTGTGCGGAGGGTGAATCTGATCTGTTTTGGTCACTAGAAAATGTTGGAGAAAAAGCTAAAAACTTCTGAGCCATTTATTTATGTGGCTTCGGTGTAACAGCTCATAAGCTTCAGTTTATAGGAAAAATGAACAGCTAAAGCCTTAGATGATAGAGACTCAAACTAGGTCACTTGCATGTGTCACGAGACTTCATGAACCACCCCTATTAAGTTATGTGTGACAAGAAATTATTGCCATTGTAATCACAAAGAACCTGCAGTAATCAATAATTCCTCAGTCAGTGCAGAAGATGGTTTCTATGATCTGAATTTTACTGCGTGACACATGCAGAAGATGGTTTCTATGATCTGAATTCAATGCTTCAATACTGCGTGACAAGAAATCTATGGTAAAAAACTGCAATGTGGTATCAAAAACTGGTAAGCAGATATTAACCCTGGTATTAACTAAAGATCAATAAAAGATTGACTTACTGAGAAGTGGGAAGATCATCATAACTGGCTTGAAATTGGAAGAACTGTGTGAAGGGAAGGGTCTGATCGCTAGTTCCCATTGTGGCAGCGGCAGGTAGAGCTGCTATTACAGCACCTAGCCTCAAAACGAAGTCAAATATAACAAGCCCCTTGTATTCAACCTTTTCATGGATATAAGCTCCTTTTAGAGGTGCTGTTCCTTTAGTAACAGCTTTTGTTTCAGTAGGAATATCAACTTTAGATGACATTTTGTAGCTTAAAGGACAGAGAGAATAAAGATTTCAAAAAGCTTGTGATGGAATAAAATGAGCTGTAGAGCCTTATATATGGAGAACTAGAGGACTAGGTTAAATCGAGTTTGTACTGAGGATTGTAATTTTAAAACATTATTTTATTTACATGAATAAGGGAGTTGTTTCTAACCGTTTCCATTTCATTTAAAGCTTGGTTTTTTATCACTTTTGATTAAAAGTCAAGGAAGAAAGTTATGAGAAGCAGAGGAACATAAATTAGTTGGTCTCCATTTCATTTAAAGCTTGGTTTTTTTATCACTTTTGATTAAAAGTCAAGAAGAAAGTTATGAGAAGCAGAGGAACATAAATTAGTTGGTCTCCATTTCATTTAAAGCTTGGTTTTTTTATCACTTTTGATTAAAAGTCAAGAAGAAAGTTATGAGAAGCAGAGGAACATAAATTAGTTGGTCTCCAGCTCAAGGCGGCAAGTCACTTGTAATAATAAATAGATAATTTCAGGTTTTGGGATGTTTGTTTTTAAGGTTGGCATGGATTGATATTGTGATATTAAGAATTTTATTTCCTTTTTTGGAATGAATGTATGATATATATTTGCATCATTGCATTGTATGATATATACTCGAGACCCGATGGGGTTTGGTTTGAGTTTCTAAAATCCATGTCTGTTAGGTTTTGGATCAGGTATGAATAGTAATTTCAGGTTCAAATATGGATAGTACCAAAACCTGACCTGTGGGTATCCATTGTCATCCCTAACCACCTACAATGCCAACCTCACTGGACCCAAAGCTTCAACACCACCACCACCACCACCTTAACCACTGTCAATGGAGAATGAAAGCATCGTTTGCTCATCCTTACATGGTTCCATCTCTCTTCAATGCCCTCTCTCCCTCCTCCAAAACTCTCTAGTCTCTCAAAACTAAGCCCAAATCCCACTAAACAGCACATTACCAAAAACCTTCCTTGCAGAACCCAACCCTTCATCAACATCTCCAATCAATCCCAGCTCACACAAGCAGTCTCTTCTCATCAGCTTTTATCACGCAAAGGCATTCACTTACCTTGGCAGACACTAGCTTACCTTATACAACAAAGTGCATATTTGAAGTCTCTTAAATTAGGCAATGGTTTCATATCCATCTGCAATTAAGTGGATTAAAAAGACCCAGTACTTTTTTACCCAAATGGGTTCAAATTTCAATAATTTCGTTTGTATTTATGTACACTGTAGTGACCATGTTAGTGCTTATAAAGTGTTTGGTATAATGTCCGAGAGAAATTTGTACTCTTGGAATAATATGCTTTAATAATTGACCGTTGGTTCAGGGTAAAACCGTCCTTTGTACTCTGAAACACTTTAAAAGTAGCCGAGCTTTATCAATTAGATGAGCACTGAAAAAGAAAAACCAAAGGTTTCCTTGCCCGCAACCATTCCTCTCTTTTTCTTCCCAGCAGTTCTTCTGGTGAATTTTCCGGGAAATTCTTCTTTTTGATAAGTAAGAAAATCCTCAAACCTTATTCCCTTTTTGTCCCTTGGTTCTTAAAGCTTATATATCTATTTCATTTGTCCAGATTTTAAAGGGTACTTAAAAAAATGGGGCCGAGATGGAAAGGAAAAGGAGCAGAAGCTAAAGCACTAGCAGATCCCATGTCAGAAATAGTCGCACAGCTTCAATCTTCTCTTCTTCAGTCAAATGCATGTGCGTCACTCTCAGGTTGTAGTGTGCTTCTTGCAGTGGAAACAGAACAGACTGAGCTTCTCACGCGGGCATGTTTCGGTAAACCCATTATCACAGCTGAGAAAGAAAAGCAATGGTTTCAGTTGGGTTTGGAGGAAGCATTTTATTTGTGTTATTCTTTAAAATGTCTAAAGATTGCTGGTGAAGATAATTTTGTTAAAAATGATTTAGGTTTGTGGTTGTATATGAAATTGAAAAAGGAAAAATTCCCGGATTTTTATAGGGCGTATTCTCATCTTCGTATGAAAAATTGGGTTCTCAGACCAGGATTACAGTATGGCGTGGATTTCGTTGCTTACCGGCATCATCCATCTTTGGTACATTCAGAATATGCTGTGATTGTTTTATCAGAAGGGGATACTGGGAGAATGAGGGTGTGGTCTGATTTCCACTGCACTATTAGACTTTGTGGAAGTGTTGCGAAAACGTTGTTAATTCTGAATGTTGACAAACATGGTCACGGTGCTATCTCTCCATCTTGTTTGGAGAGATACTCTGTTGAGGAGTGCACAATCACGAGATGGAGTCCAGAACAAAGCCGTGATGATAAGAAAGCCTCAGAAAATGGAGCGAAGTAAGATGTGCTTTCAAATATCTGGTTTGCTTTTGTCATTCTGTGCATAAACAGAGTATCTGGTTTGAATGTGCAAAGTATTTTGGCTATAACTACTTTTATAATGCTTGTGATTGCTGGTGCAAGTAATTCATAATCGTCTGTTTTTCATGCCTGATAACATGCAAGTCAAGTTTTGATCATGGAGCTGGTCTTCCTATTGTGATGGCCTAAGCAACGTGTAAATGTCTCCAGTCCAGTCTGACTAGGTGTAAAAGCCGATCTGTTGGCTTTATCATTCATTAGATGCTTTAAGACAAGAAAAGGGCATGTAATGATAAAGCCACAGTGTTGGGTTTTAGACCAGTTAATCACACAACACAACAGCAATACCAAGTTGAAAATTGAGCAAAATACAAAAAATGGAGCCAATTTCTTCATCACTGTATCTGCATGTCCCTTTTATTCAGTGCAGTCACCTCAAAAGCTAGAATCGAAAACAGTGCACTCTACAAGTAGTTCATCAAAATATATATTGTAAGCTGCAGACACATGCTAACAATGAATTGTGGCTGCTGAAAGGCAAGCAAGCTTCACCAGAATAGATGTATAATGCTACAAGTAACGATTGCCATCACCTCCCAAGCATGCATATGGCTTGGTCTATTTCCGTGCACCCTGACATAAACCCACAGATGTTTGCTTGTGATAATGTGAAGCCAGACATCAAATGCAGAAGTTGGTGGAATTTAGGCACGAGTGAGTAAAATTATATTCGCCATGACAGCCATGCTTTTTGGAACCCGACTGCAGCATTTGACATCTAGAAAATGTGGCACGCAATACTCAATGTGTAGCTTTCTCAGGAAAGCATCACTTTATTAGTTTTGGTGAAAAATCAAGATGAATTTTTGCTGAAAAACAGTGCTCCGGTATCGTTAAATCTCAACGATTTTAGCTTTTTAAAAAATATTACCCGTATACTAACCAGGGCCACGGAAGTCCTAAAGTCTCCTCCTCCCGTCCACCGTTCACCCACCTACGATGCCAACCTAACCGGACCCAAAGCGCGAACACCACCACCATCTCCCCTGTCAATGAAGAATTACACATCGTTTGCTCACCCCCACATGGTTCCTTCCAGGGGGGAACCTTTCACAAGGCTCCGTTGGGCTGTAGCCTAGGTAAAATAATAATTAAAAAAAAACTCTAGTGAGTCAAACCTCTTTTGAGTCATCAATGTTGCAGCCATCCAATTACTTTTCTTCGCCATAGCCAACCATATGTTCACAATTGTTGGTGATGATGCCTCCCATCTCAAGCCCTTCAACATCTCACTCATCATGCTAGGACCTCGCCTAACCATATATGTTTTGATCTCTAGAGACTGATTACCTGGCTGATATTATACGGCAGCCTAAGCTTCTCAAGGTGAACAAAATGCACCATTTCATAGCACTACAACCAGGGGTGGGGTGAAGGCATGTTAAAGGTTTCGGCGTGCTCCAAGGTTAAGATTTTATTAATATCTTTTTTACTAGTTTTATGTATTAAAAAAATTATAATATTCAATTAAATTATTAAAAAAATTCAAAAATTTATGTGGAGTCTTCTATGATGTTTTATCTTAAATTAAAATTTCATAATTTTTAAAGAAATTCAGAAATTTGATGAAAAATCACAACTTGACTAGTTTTACGTTATTAAATATAATTTTCAATTCGACCATCAGATTGAGTTTAAATTTTACGAGGGATCTTAAAATATATTAAATAAAATTTAATTAAAATTTTAGAATAAACGGGGTTTGGTGATGCTAACAAAAAAAACCATTAAATAAAAGTAAAATAACTCACTGAAAGTAAAATGGTTATTTACCAATAAAAATAAAATAAATCATCTCTTTCTTTATTCTACATGTTGCAAACTGAACATAAGCATATTAGAAAGAGAAAAAAAAAAGAGAGAAAAAAGTTAGGAAAAAACAAAAAAAAATGGAAAAATAACCTTATAAATTTATCAAATCCAACTTATAAAATATTAATTTAAGAAAGAATCAAGAAAAGAAAAGAAAAATTAAAAAAATATTAATTTTTTTATTTTTAATTAACATAAAATTATTATTTTATAATTTTTTCCTGAAAAACAGCGCTACGGTATCGTTAAAATCTCAACGATTTTAGCTTTTTTTAAAAATACTACCCGTATACTAACCAGGGCCACCGAAGTCCTAAAGTCCCCTCCTTCCGTCAACCGCTCACCCACCTACGACGCCAACCTAACCGGACCCAAAGCGCGAACACCACCACCATCCCCCGTCAATAAAGAAAGACACATCGTTTGCTCACCCCCACATGGTTCCATCCAGGGGCGGAGCCTTTCACAAGGCTCCGTTGGGCTGTAGCCCAGGTAGAATAATAATAATAAAATAAAATAACTCAAAAAAAAAAACTCTAGTGTGTCAAACCTATTTTGAGTCATCAACGTTGCAGCCTTCCAATTACTTTTCTTCGCCATAGCGAACCATATGTTCACAATTGTTGGTGATGATGCCTCCCAGCTCAAGCCCTTTAACACCTCACTCGTCATGCTAGGACCTCGCCTAACCATATATGTTTTGATCTCTAGAGACCGATTACCTGGCTGATATTATACGGCAGCCTAAGCTTCTCAAGGTGAACAAAATGCACCATTTCATAGCACTACAACTAGGGGTGGGGTGAAGGCATGTTAAAGGTTTCGGTGTGCTCCAAGGTTAAGATTTTATTAATATCTTTTTGACTAATTTTATATATAAAAAAAATTATAATTCTCAATTGAGTTATTAAAAAAATTCAAAAATTTATGTGGAGTCTTCTATGATGTTTTATTTTAAGTTATAATTTCATAATTTTTAGAGAAATTCAGAAATTTGATGAAAAATCATAATTTTACTAGTTTTATATTATCAAGTGTAATTTTCAATTCGATAAATTTTACGAGGAATCTTAAAATATATTAAATAAAATTTTAGAATAAACGGGGTTTGGTGGTGTTAACAAAAAAAACCATCAAATAAAAGTAAAACGACTCACTTAAAGTAAAATAATTATTTACCATTAAAAATAAAATAAATCATCTCTTCCTTTATTTTATATGTTGCAAACTGAGCAGAAGCATATTAGAAAGAGAAAAAAAGGAAAAGAAAGAGAAAAGTTAGGAAAAAACAAAAAAAAAATAGAAAAATAACCTTATAAATTTACAAAGTTTAACTTATAAAACATTAATTTAAAAAAAAAATCAAGTAAAGAAAGGAAAAATTGAGAAAGAAAAAAATTTAATTTTTTTATTTTTTAATTAATATAAAATTATTATTTTATTTCAGTTGAGTAGTTATTACAATATCAATTTAGATTCAATTATAAATAAATTATATTTCATAAAATATTAAAAAATATAACTCCCCACTTTCACTTTAATTTTATATATTTTTAAATTTATTTTTAAATTTTTTAAATAATATATTTAAATTAAAATTTTACTATTAACTGTACATAAAATAATAATTTATCTTAACAAATATTTATATATTTATTTAATAGCTTAGAACAGTAAAAATTCCTGTCTCGGCGGATGGTTCCTTCTCTCTTCAATGCCCTCTCTCCCTCCACCAAAACCCTCCAGTCTCTCAAAACTTCACTCCGATCCCACCAACGACACATCGCCGATAACCTTCTTTGCATAACCCAACCATTCATTAACATCTCTGATCAATCCCAGATCACACAAGCAGTCTCTTCTCTTCAGCTGTTATCACGCAAAGGCATTCGATTACCTTGTCAAACACTAGCTTACCTCTTCATTTTCTTAGCTACTTAATTAGTTGGGATTTTCTCCATGTTAGATGTTCTTATTGCTTTAGTGAGATGGGCATTGTTGTGTTGTCCTGTTGTTTTCTGGCAAGTTCATTCATCCATATTCATGAATTGATTTTCAAAGGAACTGCAGAATTTAAGTCAGTGAAATAGACTCCAAAGATGGAAGAGGAGGTAGATATTACGCCTAATTAATAATTATTTTTGTTGATAATTTGAGCTATAAGCTTGTCATTGCTTCAAACACTAACCAATTACCTTCCTTGATTTCTTAGAGTTACATCTATCTTGCAATGCTTTGGATTCCTATGAAGTCTGTGAGTCTATGGTTTTTACACTTTATACCAGTAGTAACATGATTCAATGGAAGTTGCTTGTCTTTGGTCCTCGTATTCTCGTGTTCCGCATCTCTATTCAGACAAGAGATAGCAATTTTCTAGCAAGGTAGGAGGGAGGACGTCGTCTGTCTCCTATCAAGTTCCAGATGACTTGTTAATACTTTCATAGAAAATCTCTTTCTAGTTCCTTTCCACTTATCTCAATGATGCCGTTCAACTCGTTTAGTTGTATTACCATGTGGGCTATGGAGCTGGTATCTGTTTTTGACTTTTTTCGCGCATAGCACGTTTTATTTTTTATTCCTTTATTAATTGTTTTTTATTTATTTCGTTTTATTTGAAGCAGTTGTTTGTGGTTATCTGATTGCCTGATCTCTTGAAGTAAAGAGTTTCCTGGCCTATGAGAAGATAGGGATGGAATTATGGAAATATACCTTGGAAAGGACATCATTGATGAGGTGCCATGCTACATAGCATCAACAATGCGAAGAAAATAGTTATTGATTGATTAACGGGGAAGAGATGATCCATGATTTTTAATTAATAGATGGCCCACTCCTTTCATCTTCAATAAAGTTGATGGAAGAGGACAATTACGTTCAATTATGGACATGATTAAACCCCTAATCACGTTTAGTGGTTAAACCATACTTGATAAGGTGTGTATGGATGATTGAGCGTGGTACAAGTAACTGTGGTTTTTGCTGCCATGTGGTAGCTTATCAAGGGCAAAACCTCTATTACCCTGGTGGATTTAGAACAGATCATGCGTAGAGGAGTTGTGCAGACCAACAAACCTCAAGAACAAATTTGGAAGGCAACACAGGTGGACTAACCAAGGAAATATTATCTCGATTATAACTCTACACCAATGATGCAAGCAAAGCAACCAACTAAATTAAAGAAAAAAAGCATGTCATTGTCATAATCAAGATTGTTGAGAAAAAATCAATGGAAGCAAATAAATAATCTTCCTAATCTGTTTTTTATATTCCCAGAAGTCTTAACTGGATGGTAATTACATCCAATTGACGTTACAATGCTGCGCAATAAAACCCACAAACCAATTCTTTTCCTGTGCAATAAAGCCTGCCGTGCCTGCTACAAGGAAAAAAAAAAAAAAAGAGGAAGAACTCAACATTCTTCTTCTTCATCATCATCTCTGACATAGAAAAATGGGTTCTCAGATCTCTAAACAGATTGAAAAGCGTAAAGAAATCTTAACTGAGAAGAAGGTTTTGGTTGATCTTGAGGAAAGCTCTGGAGAAACATATCCAGGTTCTGATGATCGTCCATCAGACAGGAAGAATTGGATGGCTGGGTTCAACCCTGAGAAACTTCACATAAACCAAATTGTATGGCCTGGAACCCATGATTCTGCTACTAATAGGATTGGCATCCCATTGATCACTCGTCCTTTCGTTCAATGTCAGTCTTTGTCCATCTACCGTCAGCTTTGTGTAGGAACCAGAGTTTTTGATATTCGGGTTCAGGAAGACCGTCGGGTCTGCCATGGAATCCTGACAACATATAGTGTTGATGTTGTTATTCGACACCTCAAGAAATTCCTGTTAGAAACTGAGTCAGAGGTCGTAATTCTTGAGATCAGGACGGAGTTTGGCCAAGAGGATCCTCCAGAGTTTGACAAGTACTTGGAGGAACAGCTTGGAGAATACCTGATCCATCAGGACGATAGTGTTTTTGGCAAAACAATTGCGGAATTGTTACCGAAGAGGGTAATCTGTGTATGGAAGCCAAGGAAATCACCAGCTCCGAAACATGGAAGCCCGTTGTGGAGTGCTGGTTATTTGAAAGACAATTGGATTGACACAGATTTGCCATCAACAAAATTTGAAAGCAACATGAAGTATTTGAGTGAACAGCCACCGGTTTCATCAAGGAAATACTTTTACAGAGTGGAGAATACTGTTACACCACAAGCAGATAACCCAATTGTATGTGTTAAACCTGTGACCAACCGGATTCATGGATATGCTAGGTTGTTCATAGCACAGTGTTTCTCAAAGGGATGTTCTGATAAGTTGCAGATCTTCTCCACTGATTTTATTGATGAGGATTTTGTCGATGCATGTGTTGGATTGACACGGGCAAGGGTTGAAGGGAAGGCTTAAAATTTCTCTTTTTTTCTTGAGTTCTTGTTCCATTTTATCGAGTTCTATTACGAGTCATCATCTCTTGTAATTAATTTCTGGGTGGCTGAAATTTGCTCCGTTGTCCTTAATGGGGTAAACTGTTCGTTTGTCTACACGTATGCTAAATTATTTGTTTATGATGTATAAAGGGCTTGTGTAAATGGTTGTGGCTGGCATACTTGTTCCTTTTTCTTTATTTTTTTTTTTTCTAACCTTGCTCTTTTACCTTTGAAGGCCTGCCCACTCTGGGAATATGCTGATACTTGTAATGTGATGGATTGAGCTGGATTGTCACTGTTATTGCCCAATCACAACTTCCCATGTAGAAAACTACTTTGTAAAATGATGAAATTTAAAGAGTTTTCAAATCGAAAAGGAAAACAAGCTATTATAGAAACCACCACTTTACAAGGTGTTTGTTGGTTGACATGTTAAGCAGGTTTGGTCCACTTGCTATCGCCACAAGTTCTTATTCAAACTGAAACTGTATGAAAACTTTTCATGAATGCACACCACTTCTAGCATAGACGATTTGCCTAATGTCAACCATTTTATAATGGAAGAGAGGACAGGCCAGCATAGCAAATTGATGATGATAGAAGATTGAAAATAACAAAGAAATCCTGAGATACAGACACTACAAGGAAAATAATGTGCATACAAACACCACATTACAACTCAGTAAAAGCTTGTCACTGTTTACGCCTACGGTATACAATCAGTTGTGTCAACCTCTGACTAGACAGGAAGAAACTAACATTCACCTTTTTCATGGTGGAAACCTATCAAGACACCATATATAAGGTCTGACTTCATCACATCCCTAAAAACTTGTTCAAGGCTGAATCAGATGCAATTTAGTTAAAGGCGGGCTTTTTCTCTGCAAAATTTACATATCAAAGTTTCCTCCTAATCCAACGAGAATACTCCTGCCAAAAAAAGTCCAAGAGTTTATAATACCAACTATGAAAAATCAAAACAGTAATCCTTTGCAGGAGTATTCTCATTGAGAATCCAACAATTAGAGAAAGCTTTGACACAAGTTTTGCAAGAAAAAAGGAATGTCCCATGTCTCAACTAATTTCGGTCTGATTCAGCCATGCACGAGTTGTAGAGATTTGATGAACTTGCACCTCATATGTTTCACAGTTCCTCTCAATAGGCTACCACCATTGGAATTATTAAGGATAGGATGCATAATGGAAAAGGTTAGTTCCTGTCTATTTAGTTCATAGGCCATATGTTATGTGAACCAATGCATAATAAAAAAGGTTAGTACCAGTCTATCTAGTTCATAGTCCATATGTTGTGTGAACCTATGAACTATAGAGATAGGAAATAGCTTTCACCATTAAGCATTCTATCTTAAAAATTTCATGGTGGTAACCTATCAAGAAACCACACCTGAGGTACCGAGTTCATGAAATCTCTAAATGATTATACATGGCTGAAATTGACCAAATTTAGCTGAGAGTGGCCTTTTCTATATGAAACTTACATCACAGAGTTTCCTCTGATTGTTGGATTATCAATTAGAATACTCGTGCCCAAAATAGCTCAAGAACTCACTCAACATGCCAGTCATAAAAACTTTGATCCAGCAAACACCAATTTAACAAAATACAGAAGTAGGATCTGCAGCTAATTTCTGTCGTAAATATATTCAAATTAACGAGATCACTTCTCTCATCCATGGCCGTATATATGACAGAAAGAGACAAAAAGAGTATATCTCTATGCTGGAACCTGGAACTGGGTTAACTCTGTGCCGTAATGATGCTTTCACCAAAAGGGTGCCTGGGATTTGCTGAAACACGTGCCAAAGCATGACACGGTCATATAGATTTCAATAATATAAGCCTTTACTATTCAAGCCAACCAAGCATACCGAAATGCGAAAAAATAAGTTATTTGAAGGAGAGTGCAAATAACTTGAACTGTTTGGATGCCTCTTCCAAGGGTTGCAAGTGGCAGCTCCATCACGATGCTTTGCTTCATTCCTCAGGAATGCTTTGCACTGATCATTTGAGGCAGTGATCTAGTAAAAAGAGATTTTTCTACATGTAAGGACACAGAAATATTATAAACAGTAGAGACAGAGAAGTAAACCAAGAATCAAGGTTCTTACATCAACAATAAATGAAGAGGCATTCAATTTACAGGATGCACTGCCAGTGCAGAAAAAGGATTCAACAGATTGTATTACATGAGGCATTGAATTGCAGTGGAAGACCCTGGTAGACAGTCCAAATCCATTTGAGATACACTAGTACAAACCCAAAGTATCACATTGTGTTAGTATTAAATTTTAAGAGACATACTGCACTGATTTATTTTGCAAGCTTCGATAAATAAGCATTTGGCAGCCAATGCTTCCACTTATCTTCAGAAAATGGTAAATGCTGTCGTGGCATAGCAGTAATAGCACCAAAAGAGAAGGAAGAGTTCTTGTGTTAAACCTAAAACTGTATAAACAAAAGGATTTCTGCGTCTATATGCAAATTCATGGAGCATGCATGCATGCCTTGACAAGTTCAGACTCGGAAGAGGGGGGATTAGAACAAGTGTAGCTGACCGAATATATACCTTGAGCAAGGCCCATGCCTCTCCGTGTGCAAAACTTGTTGCTTCGAATATAGTTGGAGCAACAAAATAAATGACTTCTGGGACAAATTTACAGGATAGTGAACGTGTGAGGGACATATCCATACCTCAAAGGTGAAAGATATGTTACCCTTCTCAGGCACAAGAGGTGATATTATTTTCCTGACCGGAGGCACAATACCAAGCAAGCCCCCACCGACATGTTTTCCCTTGGACAAATTCAGTGGTCTTTATTATGGTGACTCCAACATCACGAAGCTTTGAGGTGAGGAATTTGAGGTTTGTTTTCCTTCCAAGCATTGAAGTAAACCACCTTCAAACAAAATGTAAACATAAAGATCAATGTTTCAGAAATGAGTACGCGGACAAGTTGGATATAAATAATAACAGATGTGATTGATGAGAAAGAACCGGAAGGACTCCTTGAACACTACACTATCTTCAATGATACGAGTGATAAAGGCCTTCTCTCCACCAGGGCAAACCATCTCCTCAGGAGTCCCACCAAAAGAAGTTTTGGGATTCGGTCCTGCTCCCTCCATGGTCTCAAAAAATGGGGGATTACACATGCAGAAGTCAAACTACTAACCATCTCTGACTGCTCCAAGAAATACAGGTGGCCCAGAATACTTCTTATTTGCATCCGATGGGAGATCAAAAGAAGATAAGGGCAAGGGTTCTGCCTCCTCAACCACACTCCCACTTCCATCCATTTTGCTTTTTCCATCTACTAACTCCCCACACTTTGAATCTTCAATAGAAAGGGTGCCTTGACAATTTGTAACCTTCCTAATTTCAATTAGTTCTGATATATGTTGATTACTTTTGACATTTCTCTCTGCCCACTCTAGTGCCACATCAGTCACATCTGCAACCAAAATCACAGCATATCATCCAACAAATTATAAACAACACTGCTCCACAAACAACCCAAAAAGGAAAGAAAAAGCTACCTGACCCAACAAAAGTCTATCCAAGAAGAGAGGCGCCAAGCAGAGGGTAAATGTAGTTAGCTCAAGTGCCTATATCAAAACCTCTCACAATATCTCCATTGCTGTTATTATTTGGAATGATATCAGATGACAAAAGATCCTCGATCCAATGAATGCAGTTTGATCTATTCGGCACCGTTGGGCATAACTGCCCATTAGGAATCCACCTAGAGTGTTCAATTCACAAAAGACACTTAATTAACACAGAACCTCATAAACCAAAAAGCCTTAAATAAGAACTTTAACGTTCAAAAAAAGGCCAAGTCTTTATAACTAATTACAGCTGAAGAACCTAAGAAACCACCTATAATGTTTTATTCACATAAGATAGAAACAATAATGCATGCATAACCATCCACGACCAAGCTCACAGACCAAACAACCTTAAAACTCGAAAAAAGTCTCAATCTTTATGGTTCGTTAATAACAAAAGAACCTCAAGATTTTAACTTGCACAGTTTTCACTACAAGGGTCTTGCTTAAAGTTACAAAGCTTCATTTGTATCGTTAAAGTGTCGAAATGATTATTACCAGTTGAGGCCATAATCATGGAGGAGCAGGACCCGTGTCAGTTCTCGGGTCGAGTTGAAATTGGTCCAGTCAATTCTGGGTCGACCGTCACGCGAGTAGAAAACAAAAGCCTTGAAAGATGGATAGAGGGAAGCTAGGAGAACAAAATCAGGTGGGTTATCGGAGTATTTGTTTTTTGGGTAGATGGTGTCGGGTCTCTCTCTCTTGTTCTTCTTGCTTACCATTCTGTGTTTATAATTTTAGACAGCAGCCAGAATAGAACCAGCAAAAACATAACTATTCACGAAGAAGAGAAGAGAGTTGTTCTTGTCGACGACGAGTCTTTTTGGCAGGACTGGATTGTTTCAACTTGGGCTTTGTAGGTCTGGGATCATGCTACATCTTGGGCTCACCAATCAGTTGAGGCCATGATTTTAATTGATCATTATATTTCGCTATGTTCCATGAATTTAGGTTTTTCGGCATTGTTCCAGGAGTGTAGTCATGCTTGATTCAGAAAATTCCTGACTGAGAGCATAATCCAGTTGATTTTTAAGTTGAATTGGCAAAAAAAAATCAATTAACCTGTTAAAACTTTATTCATTCAATTTGATTGACTCAATTAACCTATTTAAAGTTATTTTGTATATCAAAAGATTCAAAACATGGTAAATTGCAGGCAGACTAGCTATCTCTTTATAAAATTAGACAAGCAAGTAGAAATGGTTTTATTGTCAATTTTGGACTAAACCTCTTAGTCTGTTATTGAAATGAAATTCTACAGGTTGATGGTCTTATGTAGAAGCATAGAATTGTGCTCTTGCAATATACATTGGAGTTAGAGCATTGCATGTAAGAGTTTATGATATGATTAGTCCTTTTTATGAAAGCTTTCGAGACTTTATTTCTGCCTCTCCGAGCTCTCTACTATCTAGGGATGGTTTTTGTGCTCTTAGATTGCACAGAGCTGGGCTAAGTGTTCCTTCCGAAGCTTGGGTCTAGACATTTAAGAGCTTTGGTTTTTGTGCTCTTAGATTTCACAGAGCTGGGCTAAGTGTTCCTTCCTAAGCTTGGGTCTAGACATTTAAGAGCTTTCTACTTGGGCCTTAGGGCTTTTGGTTAATGCACTCTATCAAAAAAGGAGTGCTAGCTAATACTCCTCTTCATATCTAGGATTGTGGTCAAGTGGAAGTAATAAAAACTGAATCAATTGCAGCAATTAGATGAAGATCATGTCTCTGATCTTGCTGAGAATTTCTGTTTTCAGAATCTGAATGCAATGTCAAACATGATAAGACCGCCAGTCTACCCAGGTATTTGGTGATTCAACTCGTTTTTTAAACTGTTTTTTTCTTAAAAAAAATATTAAATTAATGTTTTTAAAATGTTTTTTTTAGGTTTTGATATATTAAAGTTATTTTTTAAAATGAAAAC